TCCTATTAATCACTGTCAATTCTTCCCAAACTCCTCCAGTATTTTCTATTGGTCATGGGAGTTCTATGTGCCAAGTTTGGTCCAAGTCTGTAATTCGTGGGGGATCTTAGTGGTCTGTGGAAGTCAGAGCTGAATTGGTTGAAGGTACTGCAAATCCTATCATACATTATCCATATTCCCCTAAACATATTGTTTTTGTGATTAATCACTATTCTTTAATTATGTTCAATTTGTAACAATGAAAATACATCCTGCATATTAGATATTTGCATTAGAATTCATAAGAGTAGCAAAATTGTTTATGAAGTAGCAACGAAAATACAGTTGGGGGTCACCACAACACAAGGAACTTTATTTGGGGGTCACCGCATTAGAAAGGTTGAGAACCACTGGAGTAGATCAGTAGATACCATCTTGGTGGGAAGGTAACGACGCTCCGTACAGTCATTCTGGCCTCATGACCTTGAGGTTGTCTACTGACAACGCTGGCTCTTTGGCTTAGAAATGGAAATTAGCACCACCCCGCAGAACTGGACACGGCTAGACTTAATGTCAGGGAAAATCTTTACCTTTACCTTTTTTAAGGACCTCAAAAACTGCAAGCTATGGAATAAATTCAGATCTCTGTGTTTGTGCATACAGCATTTAGATGCTAAACTTTAGAAGATTTCTTTTAAAGTTTCCTTTTAAACTTATTTGGTGTGTCTAAAACATAAGCACATTTTTTTTCAAAGAGCTGTGCAATTTCTCAATGCAGCTAGTTTAAACCTGATTTTTAATTGGTATTTTTGTTGCTGAAAATGAAGCAAGTACTTTTGTGCAACTTCTGCAATTGTGGTTATTTTACTGATTCATAATTGTTTCCACATGAGTGATAGGGGAAATGAAATAATGTAGATCCTTTTTTTTAATTAATTTTAAAAGCTAAGTGTTTTAGGTGGAATTACTATTTCCAAAAATGTCCCATAGAAGTTCATAAGCAAAAAGCTGCCTGCCGTCTGTTATCAACCCCCTAGTTCAAGGATGAGGCTTTGGGTTTTTTTCTTCGTATAATTGCACAACTTCAGATGCACAAGATGAAACTATGTTCCAGGGTTGAAATGCAAACATGTTGAATAAGCCTTGAAGTGCAAAGCATACTCCCCCTTCAGTTTCTTTTACATCAATGTGTTATCTTTAACAGGATTATAGCAATTGAATTACAAGTTTGCCATTGTTCCATTGGAATAATTTTATAAACTAGAGGGCAATCAAATTAAGTAGGCACATACAGTATTTTCCCCATCAGTATGTCTCCATATGAAGGAAAGTTGTACCTGCTGTGTATTCTATTCTATGATTTACCATAGCCAGTTGTTTGTAAATCCTCAAGTTTAGTAAGGAAGGCTATTCATTTATTTACAGTATTTATATTCTGCCCTTTTCAACCCGAAGGGGACTCAGGGCGGATCACCGAACATTCATAATTGGCAAACATTCAATGCTGTTTTATACACAACTAGACAAGACAATTATACATAGATAAGAGGTATATATATCACCTTTCCCCATCTTTCCGGCATCTTGGAAGGCGTTGTGTTTGATTCCAGAAGCTCACCCTGACCTGGCTTCGAACTGGCAGCCTTTAGACAAGCTTGACTACAGCTGGTGTTTAGCTTGCTGGTGTTTAGCTTGCTGTGCTAAAGCTGGCCCTACCACACAGAATTTATTTACTGATATTTATACACACACACACACACATATTTATTTATTTCAGACCAAAAGTGAGTAAAATGTATGTGTGGATCAGTAACATATATTTGTGGTCTTGCAATAATTGTGGGTAAATTTACAGATCCTGAAATAAAAGGAACAGTACTGGTTTCTTTTCTGCATTTTCTGGTTCCATTCAGCTGTGGCATGAGAAAAGCAGTGGCAGGAGCTTAGATGTAAATCAATATGATTGGGAGGAAAATCTGCTGGGAGGAAAATGACAGTTTCATATTTTATATTTTCTTCTTTCTGTCTTCAGCTACATTCATTATTACTCAAACAATGACTAGTCATAGCCTGGAGACAAGAACACATCAGATTGTGTTCACAGGCAATTAAAAGTACATTGAGGAGACACAGGGTATCAACATCTTACACATCAATCTAATATAAGCCTTATTTCTGGTAAATAAGTAACAAGCTTAAAAAATATAGTGCTGGTTTTAGTTTTGCATCTGAAAGAGGAGAGCTACAACCTTTTGGAGTTATTTTTTTTAAAAAAAGAAACAGAGAAGAGTTGGTCGGAATAAAATTGTGCTACTAATGGAATCTGCAGCCAGAGCAACTACTTCATAGTAATGATGTCCTAGAAGAAAATAACATATTCTACTTATCTTGTCCTTTTTATGAAATGATTGTTAAAACTCTTAATAACAGACACAAATTTTCAGTTATCACACTACTCAGTATCCTTGTAGGTGTAAAAAGATGGTCTTTTGTGTGTTTATTGTAACCAAACATAACCATAGAAGCATCCTAGACAAAAATGTTATTGCATGAGCAATACTTTAATGATCGGATTAAGCTTGCTATATCAAAACTATTCTTGGAATCCATTTAAACTATTCATGAGCATTCAGATTGGAGCATTTCTTAGAATGGTATTCAGAACACAATTTGGCTATATGGTTCCAGTTTGTTTGATGGGTGCTTAGGATGTAGATCTTAGGTAGATATAATGTTTCTTTCTTGATGTTGCTGGACTGCAAAATCCAGAATCCCTAGTTCGCACATCCAATGGTGAAGAATTTTGGAAGGTGCAATCTAACATCATATAGACCAGGCATGAGCAAACTAAGGCCTGGGAGGTGAATCCCCCCCCCCCCGGGCACTTATTTATTATTTATTTACAGTATTTATATTCCGCCCTTTTCACCCCGCAGGGGACCCAGGGCGGATTACAATGTACACATATAAGGCAAACATTCAATGCCAAGACACACAACATAGACAAGACAGTCAGAGGCTATTTAGCTTTTTCTGGCCACCAGGGGAGCTGTCGCTTTCATTGTCCATCTGCGACACCGATGAAGTACTTCTGCATTCCACGCATGCTTTTGCTGGAGTGCATTGCTGGAGTCTTTTTATGGCCTCGTAAATTTTGTTAAATTAGCCTCCCCACACATACTTGACATATGCAACTGTCTTTCGGGTTGCAAAGGTCAACAACAAGCTACACAATTGGTCTGACGCTCACTCCGACCCGGACTGGCTTCGAACTCATGACCTTTCGGTCAGAAGTGATCTTAATGCAGCTGACACTCATCCAGCTGTGCCACAATCCCGGTGCTTACCTCAGGCCTTCGTCATCCTTATGCAGAAAGGATGGGGCAGGAAGGCGCACAGCGGTTAAGAGCCCTCCGGAGTGCTCTTGGACTTTGCTTGTGTCGCCCTCCTCCTGGCATAATGCCGAGAAGACAGCCTGAAGATCGAGGGAGAAGTATTGAGGAGGAGGATCAGGACAGTCGTCGTCTCATTTTCCTCCCAGCATAAGGATGGAATGAGCAGCCCCATCCTTATGCCAAGAGGACAATCTGAGAATGACCCGGCTCCTGCTCCGCCCCCTTCTGATCCCAGGCTCTCCCCCTCCCGGCCTCATCTTGCCCACTGTGTGCCTGGCCACACTCCCTCCTGGCCTGGCCCACAATGCGGCCCCAAGGCAAAACAAGTTTGCCCATGCCTGATGTTGGCAGTTTCATGGTTCCCAGTTGGATGCAGACAAAGTTCTTACAGTGATCAGTTTACATTTGTCAGAAAAGGCATATGATAGAAGATCAAAGCTGATACTACTTGAAATAAACCATGTGCTATGTATGATCTAACAGAACTTTAACAGAAGTTTTAAAAGTAGAAAGTATGCTATACTTTCCCAGAATATTATTGATTGAAAAATGGAGAAATTTTCAAGATGTTTGCACTTACTAAATAAGATGAAATACAGCTAGCTAAAAGTAGCCATTATTGGGTTAGATGCAAGGGAGAGGTTCATATATAAATATTACTGAAGTCTGTGATTGAAATGTGTTCTAGAAACAAATCTCCGTAGAAGCCAGAATGACAAAGCAGGCCACTGTACTTTGTGGCTCAGTAAAGACACAATAATGTTTGGTAAGGTTTTAGGCAATAGGAAAAGAGGAGGGTGGATAGACTCAACCAAGGAAGCCACACTTTATTGCTAAAGAAGGCAATTGCTTAAGAAACATGTTAAGGAAATACGGCTAACTGAGAAAGTCTGCATCATTTCAACAGATGGGTCGTTTTCAGACTTTTTCTGTCTCAGCTATGTTTAAGTATTAAGACAAAATGTTTTTTGTACCTTTCAGTGTGACGAATTTGAATTGTGCAATGAACTAGAAATAGTTCAAAGAGAATAATTCAAAATCTGAACTTAAGTGTGGAGAGCAAATAGGCAAAAGTATCCGAATCTTAACATTTATTGTTTGACATATTAATGTGAGTGCATAGCTCTCCTTGTTAGATTTTGAAAAACAAAACAGTTTTCATTTCCTTTTTCGGTCACCAAGGATAATGTAAGATGGAAAGATTTGAACTTTAACCACTTTTGAAGTTTCTGGGTCTGTGTGCTTGTGTAATTCTTTACTAAAAAACCATACTTAATACAGATTGCTGTAGGGGTTTTTTAGGAGGAGGATAGCATTAATATTACAACATAGAGGAAGTTCCTTCATGTTCATATTTGGGGAAAATACTAAGAGAATTTGGGGGAATTGTTTATATAATCAGTGAAAAAACAAGAATAGAACATATTTTCACTCACAAATGTCTTATTTCCATGGATTTGTTCATTGTAGCAGCATCTCCTCGTAGTATCTAATGTTGTTAAAAAAAAAAGTTCTCCAATAGTTCCCATGTCCAACATTTAATTTTTTATAATTGTATTGAGATATTTTAAAATATTTGCAGTAACATTTGCTGATTCTCTCATTTTCTCCTGGATTTCTTTGCAGATATTCAGTATGCGACTGTATATTGGTCAAAAGCTGAAAAGTCCTTCCAGATTAAAGATGTATTGGACAAGAATGGTGATGCTTATGGCTACTACAACGACAGTGTACATTCCACAGGGTGGGGGATTCTTGAGATCAAAGCAGGATATGGCAGCCATGCCCTTGGCAATGAAGACCTCATGTATGCCGCAGGCTACTTGGAGGGCTATCTCACTGCTTCGTAAGTACTTCTGTAAACTTGAATAATGGTGCTCTGTTAAACACTGTTTCAATATAATTATTTTCTTGTTTTTTTTAAAAAAACCCTCTCAGCACCTGCAAGAAATTATCAACATGTATTGTTGGCATAAAACGTTTGTTTGTTTTTTCATATTTCCCATTACCTATTTGAATGAAGGACCAAAGCCTAGACTCGACAGGCCAATTGGTACTCCACCACAGACATCAGAAAAGCTGCAAGACCAACAACAAGCCATGAAAATAAAGACAAAGATCCACCCAGAGGAAAAGTGTTCTTGCCATACATCAAGGGAACCACTGACCACATAGGGAAGCTGATGAGGAAACACAACAAAAAGCTATCTACAAACCCACTGGGAAAGTCCAACAAATGCTACGTTCAGCAAATGACAAGAAGTATCCTCTCACCTTTGCAGGAGTCTACCATATACCATGCAGTTGTGGACAAGTCTACGTAGGGACCACCAAAGACAGCACCCAAACACAAATTGAGGAACATGAAAGGCACTGCAGACTACTTCATCCAGAGAAGTCAGCCATACCAGAGCATTTGATGAACCAACCTGGACACAGCATATTATTTGAGGACACAGAAATGCTGGACCACTCTAACAACCACTATATCAGACTACACAGAGAGTCATTAAAATCCACAAGCATGTGGACAATTTCAACAGAAAGGAAGAAACCATGAGAATGAACAAAATCTGGCTACCAGTATTAAAAAACTCTAAAATGAGGACAGTAAATAAAGAGCAACACTCAGAAAACAGGGGAATTCCAGACAAGAAACAATCAGAGCCAGTTAGCGCCTCCCAACAAAGGATTCCCCCAGTCAGGAAGCAGCCAGGCTTTGAAGCTGCAAGGCTATTCGATGCTAATCAAGGTGGCCAGTTGCAACATTAACACGTGCCTCAAGCAGACAAGAGTTCTTTCTCTCACCCGGGACATTCCACAAATATATAAACCCCACTTGCCTAGTTTCCAACAGACCTCACAACCTCTGAGGATGCCTGCCATAGTTGTGAGCAAAACATCAGAACAGAATGCTTCTGGAACATGGCCATACAGCCCAGACAGCTCACAGCAATCCAGTGATTCCAGCCATGAAAGCCTTTGATAACACAACTTGCACTAAGTTCTGAGTAAATGAAATAAAGTATTTTTTAAAATTTCCTGGAGATGATTATTTGTTTGTTTTACTTCCTTCAGCTATTGACTGGAATCCTTTTGGTTTGTCTCAACTAGAGTAGACACCTTGAATCAATTATTGAGTCAACACAGAGATAAATTCCAATATCCAACATGCAAAACTAAGAGATTGTGATACCCTTAGGTTTCAGCTGGTTCATTATACACAAACCATGTTTCATGCACAAAGTTATGAAAACTATTGTGTATATACTATTATCTTTGGCCTGTGTGTATAAGAAGTATATAAAACAGAAACGTGTTTCATGTTTAGACTCAAGTCCCATTTCCAAGATACTCCCTTTTTTCTATAAATGTAAGTGCAAGAATTCCAAAATCTGAATGGTCCCAACCATTTCAGATAAGGGATACTGAATCTCTATAGTATAGCTTATCAGCTTATGTATAAAAGGTAGAGAAAAGAATAGGGAAGTGTATAAAGTAGTGCCGTATTTCTTTTCTTTCTTTCAGACACATGTGTGACCATCTTGCAAACCTATATCCACAGCTGATTAAAAATGTGATCATTGAAAAAAAAGTTCAAGATTTCATGAGGTACGTACTCAATTGTCATAAATGAAGCCCCTTTATAACTGCTGGAGGAACAAAAGTTTCATAATAGGCTTCAGACATCCCTGGTGACGTTATCCCAAACTAGCTGATGCGGGAAAGACTTATACCACAATAAATAAAACCAGTTACTTTGTAAGGCCTAATAAGACTTCTTTCTTTATTTTTGTTTTAATCGGTAATAGTGAAATGCGTCAATTGAAGGTAAATGCAGGGGTGGTTGTTAGTTTGCATATTAATGTGATAGTGAATCTGCTCCAGGTTTAATCCATATACGAGGGACATTCATAAAATATTTCCTCTGACTCACTTCCTGTGGACTGAGAGCAATGAAACTTGGCCCACTTATTAGTCCTTCCCTACATAGATGCCACCTAGGGACACATACCTCTCCCATCTTTTAAAGCAACTGTAAACACCTCACTTGTAGAAGTCGACAGGTTGCTCTAAAAGCCACGTTGTGACTTCGGAAATCAGAGTCTCATAATCTGAAAAATTCTTGCCCTTCAACAATAACTTCCTTGTTGGAAAGAGGCGGAAGTCCAATGCTGCAAGATCAAGTGAATAAGGGGGATGCTGTAGAATTTCAAAGCCTGCTTCCGTTTGGGTTACATGTGAGTTGGAAACTGGTGCATTGTCTTGCAGAAGGCAGACACCTGTGGTGAGCATGCCACATCTGTTGATTTTGATCGCCTCCGCAATGTCCACAGCAGTGAACCATAGTATGCCACAGTGATCATGGTCCCTTTTGCTAGGAAATCCATCAATACTACTGGTCCCAAAATACTGTGAGCATGACCTTGCCTGCCAAGAGTTGGGCACGTGCTTTCTTTGTAAGCTGTAAGCCCTGATGTTTCCATTGCATCAACTGGACTTTAGTCTCAGGATCATAGTGATGGCCCCAGCTTTCCTCCCGTGTGATCAGTCCATTGAAAAAGTCCTCCTGGTTTCCATGGCACATTGTCAATAGAGCCTGAGAGCATTCAACCCTTTCCTGCTTCTGGAAAGGTGTGAGCAGCTGGGAGACCCAGAAAGCATGTGAAGATGGTCTTGGATGATTTTTTCCACGGATCTCACACTAATCTTGACATTTTGGGCTTGATGGTGAATGGTTAAGCATTGATTTTCCAAAATTGTAACCTCCACTTGCTGGATGGTGTGTTCATCAATAGCAAAGTAGGGTTGCCCTGGAATTGGAGCTTCTACCGAAGTCTGACCACATTTGAATTGACAATGCCAGTTCTGGACTACATCATATGGGGAATCATCACCATAAACCTCTTTCATCTCATTGAACGTTTCCTTTGGTGTGTGGCCTTTCAAGTAAAGGACCATGAGGACTGACTGCTTTGGGTCCACTATCAAACCTCACACCACTTCAGTACATGTAAAATCAAGAGCATTATCAGTTCTGAGTTGTAAATTGCCATGTAACCTATGGAGACTTATATCATTATACATGTGCAGTTTCAGCATCCTGTGATAAATAGAAGTGGGTCAGGGAAAATCTTTAATGGACTCCCCTCATATCTATCCAGGGGATTGAAATTAGTTTGAGGTTAGGGTTCAGTCCCTTGGAGAAGTCTTTTAAAATTGCTGAGAAAATTCACTAACCTGCTAATAGGAGAAAGATCAAGATAAATATGAACACTTCTCCTGAGCAGTTCAAAGGTAAGTTCATATAGCTGAGGGAATGTGACATCTGAACAGATCCTGTATGGGCAGAAAACCAACAACAGCAAGTGCCAGGGAAATGGGCTGAGGGCTAGTTACTTCTGAACAGAATATATTGAAATAGCCTATATCTTCTCAACTGGTTCTATTCTTGGTTGCATATTTACTTAGAGGAAAGTACTACTGGGTTTCTATTTAATTTATTCTGGTCACACAGTGGAAATCCACATGTAATTTCAGATGATGTGGATTATGGAAAATACACTCTAAACTGAAATTATCTTCTTTACAGCAAACAAGATCATTGGACTCGACAACAAATCAAAACCAAAAAGGGTGACCCATTCTGGAGACATGCAGGGTATATTATTGCCCAGTTGGATGGCCTGTACATGGGGACTGTGGAATGGGCTAAACGAGAACAAAGAACAGTAAGAATAATTAAATAAAAATCACTTGGAGTCAGAAAAGGAACAAGAATACAGAAGAATATATTCCTTTATTTTAATAAAAAGGGTCCCCACTGCTTTCTTCTCTATATTGTAATATGCAAAAATACATTTTACAGCTATGAAAGTGAAATGGAGTAAAGTATTACTTCCAATAATTCTTATTAGCAATTTTTGGATATTTTAGCAGCACGATGAAAATTGGTTTGCACATACAATCAAAATGGCACTGCATGGAGTTATTGTCATAGTTGTAATTGCTATGTAGACTGCTGACTCCTTGGGATATCTACTGGGATTTAGGAAGTTGCAGATTGACTGCAGGCAAATAGCTTTCACCTTTAATGCCAGGCTCTGTCATTTTTACTTCACATTGTGTGAATAAAGACAGGAACAACTAGTTGACCTTTCCACCTTTTCTAAGTCCTGCAAAGAAACATGGAGGGTGGGGTTTAAGAAGTCAGAAATTACAGATACTTCCCCCAAACAATAGCCAGTCTGTTGCCAATGGGAAGTCTTCAAATAAGATGTATGTGTATTCTTCACATCTGTAGTGAATTCAGATGAACGACTCAGCTGGGTAACTGAGGCGATATAGGGGTGCTATTTTGGAAACACAGTGAGCATTTTTATGAATATTATATTACTCACAATGGTAAATTGATCACCTCATCTTCAAAATTCATTTGAATCTTTCCTATATTTGTGCATGCATACAAAAGTGTGTAAGGATGCTAGTTTGTGTACATTCTGTGTACATTTTTCCCAACTAAAATGATATACTTATGATGATGCTTGTCAAGGGAAATGTTGACAAGCTGGAATGTGTCCAGAGGAGGGTGACTAAAATAATCAAGGGTCTGGAGAACAAACCCTATGAGGAACAGCTTAAAGAGCTGAGCAATTTTAGTCTTTAGAAGAGAAGGCTGAGAAGGAGACATGATGGCCATGTATCTGAGGGGAAGTCATAGGGAGGAGGAAGCAAGCATGTTTTCCGCTGCCCCGGAGACTAGGACATGGAACAATGGCTTCAAACTACAGGAAAGAAGATCCCACCCGAACATTAGGAAGAACTTCTTGATTGTGAGAGCTGTTCAGCAGTGAAACTCTGCCCCAGAGTGTGGTGGAGGTTCCTTCTTTGGAGGCTTTTAAGCGGAGGCTGGATGGCCATCTGTCAGGGGTGCTTTGAATGTGATTTTCCTGTTTCTTAGCAGGGAGTTGGACTGGATCACCCACGAGGTCTCTTTCAACTCTACCATTCTACGATTCTATGCTGCATAATAAGTGCATTTATTGGAGATAGAAAACATCCCATCTTTCCAAAAGAAATACAGCACATCTTTTTTCTTCCTCAAAATCCTGCTGTTTCGCAGAATGTTGTTTTTTTTTTAATTCTGAGCAAATGTTTTTTCCTCCTGTGTGACTAGTAATATAGGTCTAGAATGTTACCTACTCTGTGGTAATGCTAATGTACTGAACATACTAACTGGAAGAGTGTTTTCTAGATGTCTCACATAAATCAATTTCGTTGTACATATGCTGTGGAATTTTGAAATTCTGTGGAAATATCCAACAGAATTTCAAAATTAGGTGAGCTGCAAATCGATGATTTGTGATTAAAATAATATTCTGACATCTAGCTGTAATGTCTCAAAAATATGCCCTGCCAATGTTATCAGCTTAGTCACAAGATGAGTTGCTTGTCTGGACTAGGAAGTGAAAAGCTTCCTTGTCCAGACATTTGCTTTTGATGTTCATTTGCTCATTCATTCAATTTATATGCTTATCTTTTTCATACAAATCATCTGAAAGTATAGGTTGAAACAAAGTATGGCTTAAAAATAGTAAAAATAAATAAATAAATAAATAAACCCTTCCCTTTTAGAACAACTCTAATTAAAAACAGTGTAAGCAGCATTTCAAAATAAAAGCTGAACAAATTCAGCAACCCCACCCCCTTTTGCCTAAATAGATTCTTCAATTCATAGTAATAATTCTCACTAATAGCACTAACTTAGACTGACTTGCCTTGTCAGTCTTACCTAGCCATCCGAAAATATGCAAATGTGAGTTGATCAATAGGTACCGCTCCGGTGGGAAGGTAACGACACTCCATGCAGTCATGCTGGCCATGTGACCTTGGAGGTGTCTATGGACACCGCAGGCACTTTTGCTTAGAAATGGAGATGAGTCCAGAGTTGGACAAGACTGGACTTAACTTCAGGGGAAAACTTTTACCTTATGCAAAAATCAGGGCCAGATCAAACACATTGTCAATCTTCTTCTGTTACTTTGGCATTGATCCAAATCATTATTAAAGTACTTGGGGACGGGCTGACTTGTCAGTTGATTAAAAACATTTATTTATTCTGCTCATCCTGTATTCTAAGTAAAACTTAGTGAAGAGAATTAATTTATGCACAAAGGAAAATGACAGTAAGAACAAATAAAATACAATCTGTTATAGCTGTGTGTTTCACCATATTCTGGATGTCTCTGTAAATGTAGTGTAAACTATACACACCTGTTTTTGACCCCCATCAGGGACATCTGGCAAAGTTCTGTAAGATGGTTGCAGTCCATTGCTTGTTTTCCCTCTCACAATATGGGTTCGGGACAGTATCATCTGCCTATTGTTTTTCAGAGATCCATATGCCTTTTAAAAAGCCTTTTCCATCTGTCCATTTGCCAACTCAATTTGTTCTGTAACACCTCATGCTTTCCTGATCCAGCATTCCTACTTTCCTAGACATAAAATAAAGTCTGACCAACCAGTGAGAAATCTACAATAATGTTTTCCTCTGCGTATGTGAGGCTGAGTGCCGAACTTTGATGCTGATTTGATGCTGACATATAATACTGTCATCTGAATTATGCTTTCCTATGCTGTGTTTGGGCGATTAGTTACTCCATGATGAGAACTTTAAAATGTTGCTTGTAAAGCTAACATGTCAGCATTAATCTCTTCTTGGCATGTTTAGGATGAACCTGATTTTTCTCTCTCTCTCCATCTCTTCCCTTAGCCTCTCAGTGCCTTTCAAGTTAGTTTTTTGAATGCAGTTGGAGATCTCCTTGACCTTATTCCTGCCTTATTCTCAGATAAAGCAGTGAGCATTGATGATATATTACCAATAGGCATCCAGCGATACCAGGGGGATATGGGCCATTGTTCAGCTCTGATCAAGGTAAGAACAACAGCATTCCTGTTTCTACCTGTAGGACTAAAAGGAGTGATGGAACTTACTCTTAGTTATTTTTCAGGCTCTCAAAATGAAATTTTGCATTAATTCAATTTTAATAGGCCTCATGAACGCTCAGCATTGATATATTAATCTCATGCAAATTGGTTATGAAATACTTACTTAACTTTTTAAAAATTGTTTATATAAAAATCACATGGAATATATTCTGATATGGATAAAAAAAATAATTGAAAATAAACAGGAAGGAGTTAAGTTTCTTCTACTGATTGTGTTCAAACTACTAACGGGCTAAGATCAGGAACTGAAAGTATTAGCTAAAAATCGGTAGATTCAGCTGTCTAATTTACTAATTTTAATTTTAATTTGCTTCAAAAGATAAATGTACTTGGATAGATCAGATATGTTGCAATAAATAAAGCAATAGGTTTAGCTGTAGTGGCTCAGATAGAATATTATTATTATTATTATTATTAATATTATTATTACTATTTATATCCCACTTTTTCTCTCCATACAGAGACTCAAAGCAGTCCACAGTTAAAAGCATTACAATACAAATTAAAATATACAATTACACAAATATTAAAGCAGTATTAAACATCATTAATATTAAAACAAATCAGGTTAGATACATAAAACATAAAATCACAACAGCCCCTGATATGATCTTAAAAACCTTCTTCTTTGAATGCCTGTTTGAATAAAAAGGTTTTAGCTTGCAGCCAGAAGGACAGCAGCGAAGAGGCCATTCTGGCTTCCCTGGACAGGGAGTTCCTGAATTGAAGGGCATACCACTCTTTTGTCTGAAGAGTTGAAGGGCAACCACAGAGAAAGCCCTCTCTCATTCCCACAAACCAAGATGAGATGGAGGTGGGACGACGAGAAGAGCCTCTCCTGAAGATTTCAGGGCCAGGGTAAATAGCCTGGACCTAAACCATCTAGGGCTTTAAAGGTCATAACCATCACTTTGAATTGTGCCCAGAAACAGACTGGCAGCCAGTGGAGCTCCTGCAACCGTGGGTGGGGGGTGGGTATCCATTCTCTGTAGCCTGCCCCAGTGAGCAACCTGGCTGCAGCTCTTTGGACCAGCTGAAGCTTCTGAGCACCCTTCAGAGGCAACTCCACGTAGAGTGCATTACAGTAATCCAGATGGGATGTAACTAAGGCGTGTACCACAGTGGCCAGATGTGGCTTCCCAAGGAATAGGCACAGTTGGTGCGGAAGTTTTAATTGTGCAAAGCCCCTCCCGGCCACCTCTGACACCTGGGCCTCCAGGTTCAGTGCCGAGTTCAGGAGGACCCCCAAACTGTGGACTTGTATCTTCAGGGGGAGTGTGACCCCCCCCCCCCCCATCCAGCACAGGCTGGATCCCTATTCTCTGATCTGCTTTCCAACTGACCAGGAATACCACTCTTTTGTCTGAATTAAGTTTCAATTTGTTTGTCCTCATCCAGCACATTACTGATGACTTGACACTGGTTTAGGGTTAGGACTGCTTCCTTGGATTAAGTTGGAAAGGAATAGTAGAGTTGCGTGTTATCTGCATATAAGTGGCCTCAAACTCCAAAACTCTGGATGACCTCTCCCAGTGGTTTCATGTATATGTTTAAACAGCATGGGGGACATAACAGAACCCTGAGGAACCCCACAGGACAACAGCCAGGGGTTTAAACATACCATAATCCTGTGTCTCTTTTCTAGGTTCTTCCTGGATATGAGAATATCTACTTTGCTCATTCTAGCTGGTTCACATATGCAGCCACTCTGAGAATCTATAAGCATTGGGACTTCAGAATCGATGATCCACAAACAAGCACAGGCCGTGCCTCATTCAGCAGTTATCCAGGTAACCCAAATATATGAAAGGAACACCATAAACTTCGATGTTTGCATCTTGCCTGTGTTGGTGGAGGAGAATGAGACAGCAGTTTGGGGTGGGGGGGGGGGGTGGAGTAAGAAGCAGCCCAGCTTCTTTGCTCCCATGGACAGAAAGAAAGCAGAAGTATAACAGACAGGCCTTGGGCCCCCTTCCAGACTTCTGTGTTTTAGTAATACCTTCTGTTTTCCACTCTCCCTGTTGGTTCTAGCCCTGATCCTGCATTTATACAGAGAAATGAATAGCATACCAAAGGCTTTTTATGTATACCCTTTTTGTTTTGGACTTTTAAATCTTTCTGTGTTTTTTAATATTTCCATGTTCAGAAAGTAAACTAATACAGTATTAGCACCAGATCTATCCTAATCTAAATTACAACAAAAACAAAAACAAATGGGTAGATTTGACCAGAGGCGGCCCTGGGTAATTTTTAACGGTAAGCAAACAGTATTTTGGCGCCCCCCCCCCCCAACCAATCATTGATATATATTTGGTTCAATTCCATCATTGGTAGAGTTCAGAATGCTCTTTGATTGTAGGTGAACTATACATCCCAGTAACTACACTTGCCGCACTTGCTCCCTTGCCTGGCCCGCTTTGGGTCCAGAGGCGTGCCTGAAGACCCCGGCGTGTGCACCAAAAGTCACCTCTTCTCCTGACTTTCTCCTCAGCCATTGGGACAGAGAGAGAGAGAGAGACGGAGGTGGAGATGCCCACCTTTCCTGAAGGTAGGCGCAAAAACAAAGGAGGGAGCAGAGGTGGGAGATACCTTCAGCCGGAGGGGCTCTCTCTCTCTCTCTCTCTCTCTTGGTCCCAATGGCTGAAGAGAAAGTCAGGAGAAGAGGAGACTTTTGGTGCGCACACTGGGGTCTTCAGACACTCCTCCGGACCCGAAGTGGGCCAGGCATGGCGGCTCCGCCCCTTGGCCGACCCGCGGATTGGGGAGAGGAGAGGAGGCGGGTGGAGCGCTGGGGATCAGGAAAGGGAGCCGGTCATGGGGAAGGGATCGAATGCGGAGAACGATTGAGTGCCGGCTCTGCTCGTGCACCCGGTGGCCGGGTGGAGCAGGAACGAGAGGGGCTAGGCGAGGCTCAAGGGCCCGGCCCCTTTGGGAAGAAGGATCGCCCGGCAGCGAGGCAAGAAAGCCAGGCTCCCCCCGGACTGCTAGGGCTGTTGTGAGCTGAGGGGGCGCTCCTCAAGTGGCAGTCAAGGGGTATTTACAGAAGCGCCTCTGCGCCCCTGGCAAAAAAAGTGTTCTGCAACCGCTTACTTCGTGTAATGGACGAGCCGCCCCTGGATTTGACAGGTTCCAATTTCATGAAAACATATCACATTTCATTAAAAACTGTTGTATTGGGAGATCCCGACAAAACTGAAATTTAGACAAACTTAAATTCAAATTATTTTTTCTGATTTGAATTAGTGGAAGTTTACAATGATCAGAAATGAGGTAGACCACACAATTTGTTTGCAGATTTCACCCGTGGAAGCAGTTGTATTTCTCCAGTTGTCTAAGGGCCCTTCTACACTGCTATATAAAATCCATATTATCTAATTTGATAATCTGGGTTATATGGCAGTGTAGAATGGGCCTTAATCTTCAAGATACTTACTGCATCAATGCTGCTTTGACTCTCCTTGTGGAGAGAAAGTGGGTTATAAATACACATAATAATAATAATAATAATAATAATAATAATAATAATAATAATGCCTAGGAGTGCTCTGTCTTCTATTTTGAAGTAATTGTAGAATTAGCTACCTTCTCTTTAGACCACATAGTATGTGATTTTGGTAGCAGCCTAGTAATGCTTGGCGTCACAATTCAATATAAGGATTTGGATCTGGTGTATACTTATAGTAGCCTGCTTTTTCAAATTATGCAGGCTTCAGTTGCAAAACATAGGAAACCATCCAAATATTTAACAATTTGGATAATATAATTAATTTCTGATAGTTTATTTAAATAGTTGTGTACCAATATTATACTTTCACATAGCCATGTTTGAAATTACACTGTTTGAAAATAATATGTACTGAGAACAGTTCTTGGCTATGAAACATTTTGCCAGACATTTTCATTGTGTCAGATCTACATATCTGACCATGGTTTCAAAAAATAAAATGAAACAAAATAAAATAAAGCAATGGAACCCCATTTCCTGTTAGGTAAAATAAACTTTTTCCCTGACATTAAGTGTAGTTGTGTCCAACTCTGGGGGTTGGTGCTCATCTCCATTTCTAAGCCGAAGAGCCAGCGTTGTCCACACACACCTTCAAGGTCATGTGGCTGGCATGACTGCATGGAGCGGCATTACCTTCCCGTCGGAATGGTACCTATTGATCTACTCACATTTGCATGTTTTCAAATGGCTAGGTTGGCAGAAGCTGGGCCTAACAGCGGGAGCTCACCCCTCTCCCCGGATTTGAACTGGCAATCGTTTGGTCAGCAAGTTCAGCAGCTCGGGTTTAACCCACGGTGTCACCGGGGGCTCCATTTCATGTTAAAATTACTTTTTCTATGAAAGCAGTGTACAATTCAAACATTTAATCATGCAGTGTTTAATTAAGAATTAATACATATGTAATAGTATATCTGAACTTCATGAAAGCTGATACTTACCTGAAATAAAGTAAAGGGAAAGAGGTGAACAAGTGAAGAAGAGGAAATGAGGAGAGGGGTGGGGCTCTCCTCAAATAGATCCACCTTTGGTGCTGGTATTTATAGAATGTTTCTATTCATTTGTTGAAAGAATGTATTTGTGTACATCACATTTTAAGGGATCTGTCTAAACATTGCTTGAGATTTTATAGGACCAGTCCTGTTTCTGTTGCTGCTGCTAAAATGCCCTCCATTGAAACATGCATTTTTTGGCTAGGTACTTCCTCTTTTTCTATTATGTTTTGTGCTTGTATTCTATCCAGCGCAGGTAATTTTCTTTCAGATCATGTCTTGCCCTTTTGGGAAGCGCTTGAAGTAATGATCACTTCTAATGAATAAGGTTGTGATGAATGAGGCTGCAAGTTGTGAGCATTCCCTGTAATATCTGTTGAGTGGTTAGATGATAGGGATTCAGAAGATGCAATCAGAAGCATTCTTGTTAGCATTGATAGAATAATAGGACTTATTTCGGATGGAGAGTTGTTGATGACACACACACTCACACACTTAATTACTGATGAAGTAGGCAAGTTTGATTACATCAAATTTCTATAAGCACATTCATAGTGCAGGGTAATTAGAGCTGACTGAGTAGAACTTAACAATGGCAGCTGATGCTGAATTTTCCTTTCTGTGGCGGCATCTTCTATACATTGTCTCCTGCCCCCAGCTTGTTTTGTGAAAGGGGTGTGGGGGGGTCCTCTAGATCAGTGGTTCTCAACCTGCGGGTCCCCAGATGTTTTGGGCTTCAACTTCCAGAAATCCTAAGAGTTGGTAAAGTGGCTGGGATTTCTGGGAGTTGTAGGCCAAAACACCTGGGGACCCGCAGGTTGAGAACCACTGCTCTAGATGATGTTGGACCTCATCTTCCATAGTTCCTAGCTGTTATAGCCAATACTGAAGCATGAAACATATGCCAGTCAAACTGGTTTGACCGAAAGTGATTTGTAATATTTGGTAGTCCGTTTTGTGTAATCCCTGAAAACAGAAAGGGGAGGAGGGAACCAAAAAGCTGAGCAAAACAGATCAAGATTTATCAGCTACTGGAGATGATGGCGTTAAGTCTGCATTTTACCTGAGATAGGTCTGCCACGAGGCTCCTGGAGAAGATCTTGCCGTGTCTTTCTTCCCTCCCCGGCAGCAGAAAAGTTCCCCTAGGCTGCTCCTCCAGAGAGGGCAAAGCTGGGAACTCGCTTTCCCAGCAGCACTTGCATGGGATGGGCATTGAAAAGTTTCTGAGTTCCTCTCAGAGCACAATGGGAGTTCAAGTTTTTCTCTCTGTGTTTCTCAGCCAATAAAATTCCATGCTCTGATTGGCTGAGAATGGGCACAAGTGGTAGCTATAATTCCCAGAACCCTCTCTTGCTGTTTGTCTTATTTTTAAAAAATGTTATGGTAAAAACTTGAAATAATTCTAAAAAATCAGTGGATTGATGAATTGTTCTGAAACTTGGCAGGCCTGCAGTTGTAAATGAGGTCTAAAACTGAAGTAGGTTACATGCAGATAGGCCTCAAAATGACTGAGGATTGAGCCTTTGAAATTTCCCATTGTGGCCAATGGGCTGAATCTTTGCCGAATGAAAATGGCACCAATCCTTCCAATTTGAGAAACTTCCCAGTAAACAGAATGAGAGGTTAGCCAAAAACGGACCCCAAAATGGCACGCCTTTTGGCCGAATTGCACAAACCTACTAGCTCATACAACTTTTTCACAGGATTTGGTTGTCAGGTCCTTTTATTCCAGTGTTTGTTCTTTGAACATACTCTAATTTGTCAAGATTCTCCTTAAAATACAATGTCCAGAATTGTACACAATAGTTTAGATCTATGCATCTCAAGCTGTTAGTTGGGAAGGGGGTGTAAACACATACACACACACACTCACACACTGTGTACTAATGACATATTTGTTTGCAACTGTTTATTTCCTGGAAACTCAGTCAATGGTTTAAGCAGAGTATCAGCCTATGGATTATCATTTTGAGTAGCATGGTTTTAAATAGAGCTTGACCAGTATGAACTAGAACTCTCTCTGCGTGTTTATGCACACGTATGAGTTCATTACATTTCTAGCATTCCTTTCTGCCCCTAGTGGGCAATCAGGGCAACGAGTGGGAATGGAATTCAGATAAAACAAGTGCAATTTAAATATAAAATTATATTTAAAGTACTATATAAAACACATCAATTAAAAAACTTCATACATTATTCTTCTATTAATATAACTTAGTATGGCATTTCCTGTTTCAGCAGTTGCATCCCACATGACAGCATGACTCTGCTCCCTCCTTTTACAGACAACTTTTGAAAGTGCTTTCAGACATCTCATTAAGAACCAAACACTTCTCCAGATCCAGCCGATACACTAGCAAACTGCTGTGTGTTTATTCATACTATGCATTTGGCCACGGCGTACTTGAACTTTCAAACTTCTCCTGGACGTTACTCAGCTAGCAAGCCCCCTTTTGTTACTGTGTTTGCTCACTGTAATGGCCCATAAATATTAGTGATTATTGATTGATGATTCTTTATGGGAGGTAACCCGCTTGGCAAAACTCTGCAGTCTCTCTCTGACTAGGAGAATTATCAGGCTAGTTGAGCACCCCATTCCCTCTAACGAAAGAGAAGGGGCGGCTGTGTGGAAGGGAGGGACGGGGAATTAGAAGAAGGTTCATTGCAAGGAAGTCTCCCTCTCTCTCTCTCTGGGTATTTTAAGCGGGTTAACTAATCTTCTACTCACAAGTTGACTATACTGTTTGTCTCCATCTATATTTTCAGTTTATTTGTAGTTTGCACTCTTCCAAAGAAAACCACAACCTAGTTGATACACTGTTGAAAAGTTCTTACTTGGGAGGATGTAACAACATATTTCCCTTCCATAGGATGTTGCTTCCATCTTCTTGGGCTGAACCTGAGCTGAAAATGTATTAATCTCTGGCCAACATCCATTTTGGTACCTCAAATGTTAGACTTGTTTCTGTGTATATTTGACCTGCTGGTTCCAAAAATGGCACCACTTTGGCCCTATCAGCTCTAGTATGTGGGACAGAACATATGACATATACCAGTCTTCATATGCTTGCCCATAGAAAACCATGATATTTATTAATTTACTACATTTATATCCACAACCAGGATTTAACTTTCTTCCTGAAGGTCAGGAGTGAGGGAACTGATTTAATTTCCTTGGGGAGGGAGTTCCAAAGCCAAGAGGCCAGCACCGAGAAAGCCTTGTCTCTTGTCCCAACCAGTTGCGCCTGCAAGAGGGGTGGGATCAAGAACAGGGCCTTCCTGCATGATCTTAACCTCCGAGATAGTTCGTAGTGGGAGATACATTTGGACAGGTAATCTGGCCTGGAACCGTTTAGGGCTTTATAGGTTAAAGCCAGCACTTTGAATTGTGCTCAGTAGCAGACTGACAGCTAGTGGAGCTGATGCAACAGGAGGGATGTCCTCTCTCTTTATGCCTCTCTGGTGAGCAGCCTGGCTTCTGAATAGTCCTCAAAGGCAACTGCATGTAGAACGTGTTGCAATAATCTATTTGAGATGTAACAAGAGCATGGACTACTGTGGCTGAATCTGACTTCCCATATCTAACCATATCTAAGAAACTAGAGCTGTTGTAATGCATCCAATGCAATTTTCTGAATCAGTGCCCCCAAAACCCCAGGAACAGGCCTAAAAACCAATACACACACAAAAAAAGAAAAAAAACTTGAGTTATGTAATAAATTACAATAAATTATATAAGATTGTGGCTGAGAAAATGAAACCCTTATTGTAACAGCTTTTTCAGCTGTAGACCCTAGACCTAAAATAAAATAATGCTAGAATAAAGATTCTGAAGAATCTGCTTATAGATAACCCACATTCTTTTATTCTGCATTCAGGTTTTTTGGTGTCTCTAGATGACTTTTATATACTTGGCAATGGCTTGATCATGTTGCAGACCACCAACAGTGTATACAACCTAACTCTCCTGAGACAAATTGTACCTGAGAGCCTCTTTGCCTGGCAGAGAGTCCGCATTGCCAACATGATGGCAGATTCCGGAAAAGCCTGGGGAGAAATCTTTGAAAAGGAAAACTCTGGTTGGTATACCCAAAGAGGACTCTCTTTCCGTAAATGTTTTGCTTTCCATCTTTCCCTATAAATGTAGTGAAAATTTAAATGTCTCCTCACTGTTTTCCCTTAGGCACCTATAACAATCAGTATATGGTCTTGGATACAAACAAGGTCAAATTGCAAAGGAGCCTTGATAATGGAACCCTCTATGTAATTGAACAGATTCCGAACCACGTGGAATATTCTGATCAGACAAATGTTCTCCGAAGAGGTAGAAACTTAACTATAACTGTAATTTAGTATAACTTTTTAAAAAATAACTGTCTACATTGATTGCTTAGTACTTCACCCTGCCACAGTGAAACTTGGTTTTATGGCTGTTGATTTTCAACAGCACTTAGCTTGTGCCCCTATCAAGCTAAGTGCTGTCAACTGTGAGCAATTTGGGGAATTCTCTAAACAGGGAGGAATTTTGTTTTCACATTCGTTAGTGGAGTTCAAATCTTTTAAGAGCATTCAAGCTGTGTGCAAAACTTCTGGCTAATCTACTCAATGATATTGATTCCTCTTATAGGATACTGGCCATCTTACAACGTCCCTTTCTATGAAAATATATTTAACATGAGTGGATATGTTGAATATGTTAAAAAATATGGATTGGACTATTCTTATGAAATGGCTCCCAGGGCAAAAATCTTCCGACGGGACCAAGGAAAGGTTGTGGACATCGAGACCATGAAATACATCATGCGATACAACAGTATGTAATTTTTTTAAAAACCCTGTCTTTTAAGATATATTCTCTCTACTCTTTTTATGATAAGAAAGAGGGGATTCTTCCTTTGCCAAGACCTGTGCCCCTTAATCTTTTCAAGCAATATTGGAGGAATTACGTAAGGAATTCAGTACTCCTTAGATAGGTTTTTGGCCATAAACAAGGAAGAAAGATGCTGACATTTATATACCAATACAGGCAGTCCCCAAGTTACAAATACCTGGCTTACAAATGACTCATAGTTAAGAACTATGTGATCTTCCTGCTTTTTGGCAGGGGGTGGGACTGGATAGCCCACAAGGTCTCTTCCAACTCTGTGATTCTATGGTTCTAACGGAGCTGAGACAACAGGAAATGAGGTAAGTCTCATTCTAGGAAGGAAAATTCACTCCTAAAAGAGTTATCATGGGGAAAAGGTAGCTCCACTGAAGCTTTATCAACAATCTTTGTTTCCACAACAAGCCATTATTTTTCAAAATCCAATTATCAAAGGGACAGAAAGTGAGCTGAAATCTTCTGAACAGGGTCACAGGCAGCAAAGGAAGCATCACGGGGTGTTAAGCCTTCCCTATGCTATCCAAAGTGCGCGCTCTCTCTATATATACATATTAATCAGGGCTGAGTAGGAGGAATAAACATCCAATTAAAATTAGCCCTCCTCACCTAAGAGCTTCTCAAATCTTTGATTGAAAGGTATGTGTGATGGTGCATCCCACTCCAGAGGAAAGAAAAACCTTTGTGCAACTTCTCTAAATCTTATTAATGTCAAAATACACTCCAGTAAGACTCAAGCCGAACTGTTTTTAAATTCCCGTCTAGAAATATCCATTCCTGTGACCAATGAGGAGTACTTACATTCTGAACAGCTGAGATTGCCCTGTATAATGTCTCTCATGTGGTGTACATAATATCTGTCTTGGAATACCATCCTAAGCAGTTGTCTTTAAAGTGAATGTATGATTCATCTCTCTTTCCTCCTGATGGCTCTTTCATCAGTACAAGCTTATGTCCCTTCTTCCCAGTGAAGTTCACTTGCTGCCCTTGGGCTGAACTCCCGCTTTCTCGATTTAGCCAACCTTAATAGTTATGAGAATTAAAGGCAGCAGGCAGAAAAATCCTCTGTGCTCTTTTAAAAAAGGAAATTATATCGTCCATTGAGGTCTTCTGGAGGTCTCAGCAATAGCTGTGGGGTTAATGTTTGCCTGCCGATGCCACTCATGGGATACTAGACATACTCCTCTTCTGTCCCTTTTATTCCCTAGACTACAAGAAGGAGCCCTATGCAAGGAACAATCCTTGCAATACCATTTGCTGTCGAGCAGATCTGAACCTCAAGACTCCAGTTCCTGCTGGTTGTTATGACACTAAGGTAAGGAATCCCAGGGGAAGTCGCTAACTAGTGATGCCCAAGGAAAAACCTAGAAATCTGCCTGGATTCTTATGCACTTGCAATTATCTCAGGGGCCTTCCACTCAGCCATATAATCCAGAATATCAAGGTAGAAAATCCCACAATATCGGCTTTGAACGGGAATATCTGAGTCCACACTGCCATATATTCCAGTTCAAAGCAGAAAATGTGGGATTTCTTTAGAGACAACTTCCAGCACAGAAGCTAGGGATGTACCATATTTATTCAAATCTGAGATGCACTCCCCCCCCCCCCCAATATAATAATCTCAGAAAATCTTAAAATCATGTTTGCAAGACAGCATTGTACATTTTCCCACTCTCACCGGGACTCCTGTCAGCATATTCCCCAATACAACCCTCTACCAGGCTACCACAGAAGCTCCAAGTCCCACCTTTTCCTCTTCTCCATCATGGTTGTTGTTTGTCGCTTTTGGTAGTTGCCAAAGGAAGCAGGGATGGCAGGCATCTGTGGGAAGAAGCCCGGCACTTCTCAGCACAGAGCATCCCTTCTTCATCCTTGTTCTGGCCAGACCTTGCTTATCTGGGAAAGGGGAAGCTTGCCACCACTTTTGTTTCTAAGAAATTCTAAAAGATATTATAAGGAATTATTTTTTTCTTAGAATCAAAGCTTGCGATCTTCCAATCAACAAAGTCTCAGAATCAAAGGAATAGTAGTACTAACTAGCCAAAACAAAACCCCAAACCGAACCAAAAGTATTTGAGACAGGATACAGAAGTTGGCAGGTTAAGTAGTTACATAGAAGTGCTGAAGCTTCATGCCACGAACTGCCAGTGTGCTTAGTTTAACTCTCACTCTGGAGAACTTCCAGACTTTGGAAATGTGTGTTTGGACTACAATTCCACACCCTTGTTATATCGAGAATATCGAGAACCCCTCTACGTGGGGTTGCCTTTGAAGACTGTTTGGAAGCCTCAAGTGGTCCAATGGGTGACAGCCAGATTGTTCACTGGAGTGGCGTTTAAGGAGCACACAACCCCCTGTTATGTCAGCTCTGCTGGCTGCCAGACTGTTAGCGAGCCTAATTCAAAGGGCTAGCTTTAGCCTATAAATTCCTAAATGGTTCCGGTCCAGTTTATCAATCCAAACACATCTCCCTTTATGAGCCAGCTAGAGCATTAAGATCAGCTAGGGAGGTCCTGCTCCCGGTCCCACCACCTTTGCAGGTGCGATTGATGGGAACGAGAGACAAGGCGTTTTCGATGGTGGCCCCTCGGCTATTGGAACTCCCCAGTGAGATTAGATTAGCCCCTTCCCTCCTTGTCCAAGTACAGGATCAGCAGAAGCAGTGAAATACATTGGCCTATCCATGTCTTTTCCAAGTAACCATTAGCTACACATGATGTCAGGTCAGGAAAAGTCTGGCTATCAAAGCAGGCAGCTTTGCCTTGACTTAAGCCTTATTTTGGACCTATGGATAACTTTGAAAAATGTTTCCTCTCCCCTTGTATTGGACAGAAACCTATCAATTATATTTATAAGCAGGATTAGCTCAAAATATTTCAGTGCTTTGTGGTGAATCCTTCTGAAGACACTGCAGTTCCCTGCACACACCCATTACACACTAAAATCCAAAGAGCTCTGCATGTGCTAATGGCTAGGATCCTATTGTTAGTCCTAACTAGAGTAGGACTAACAATACCACTCCGGCAGGAAGGTAGCGGCACTCCATGTAGTCATGCTGGCCACATGACCTTGGAGGTGTCTACGGACAGTACCGGCTCTTCAGCTTAGAAATGGAGATGAGCACCAACCCCCAGAGTTGGACACAACTGGACTTACTGTCAGGGGAAAACCTCTATCTTTACCTTAACTAAACAAATTCAATCAATTCCTGATTGGTTGGTCAACACATAAGTCAATCCAATTGATTAACTGTAGGATTTAGGCCAATATCCCAAAGAAGAGATGTTCAAAGTGTTTTATATAATTCAGATAATTTCTGCTGCCACCACCAGTGTCTTGGTGTGTCTGATTGTGTTTGTACAGAGAAAATATAGTCTCTGGGCTGTAAATTGCTCCTCAACCCCTCACTGTATCCTTCAAACATACAAATGTAACTGGAGGAGGAGTTCCCGATTTGTACCTTGCTATCTCTAAAACGAACAAAATTAGATGCAAACACAGGAACAAGGAGGAGATTTCTGGGCATTTCTGATTCTTGATGAAAAGACGCAATGGCATGGCCTATTTAGGAAACATCTTTTGTGTCATGGCTTTGCAAAGGTGTCTTCTGTGCTTCCTTCCAGGTAGCAGACATCAATATGGCTATGAAGTTTACAGCCTATGCCATCAATGGCCCACCTGTGGAGGAAGGCCTGCCCATCTTCAACTGGAGCCGTTTCAACAAGACAAAACACCAGGGCTTGCCAGACTCGTATAATTTTGATTTCATCACTATGAAGCCAGTATTGTGAAACTACAATCAGAAACTGAATTGAATGTGTGTTTGTGTGGGAGGGAGGGAAGGAGGGAGGGAGATTTTCTCATTATGCTTTTACTGCTTACCAAATAAAGTGCAACCCAAGATCCCACCTTTGGTGCCTTAACTGGTGTTACGTGGGCTGGGAGTAGGTGGAGATACAATGAAGTAACTTCACAAGAAAGTACAGCAGAAATTAGAAAATGGAACACAGATCGGCAGTAAAAAAAAATCCACTTTCTGCAGTCCTCTTAATCCTCTGTACAACATAGAAGGTAACTTGCCATCCTTGGTGAAGTGTGTTATAGGCTGAGGAGGAAATCTTTACTATTATAAAGTTTGTTTTGGAATACCTTTAGCTCCCTAAAGGGACTCGAATTATTTCCTGGAACCAGTTTTATATGTATGTGATTGCTATAAGCTCTCTGTGAGACTTTTTTTGCATATAGTGCACCAATTCAGTGCTTCTTTTTCAGACGGGGCCTCAACATTTATTCATTTCATGTCCAAAGCATTGCATACAATAGTATAAAACTGATAAAAATAGAAGGAGCACAAGCGGCTAAATAATTTTTGTCTAAAACTGGGCAACAACGACCACATAGTCTGTATATTTAAAAAATTCTTCCTCTGTTCATGAGGCAGAGCATTGTGAATGAGCATACAGGTGCAGAGTTGTTTGTTCTGCTCCACAGTTGCACAAGGTGGAGGATTTTTTTTAGGTAGTGCCATTTTGCCAGATTGTCTTTTGATCTTGCCCACTCCACTTCTGAGTCAGAGCCCCCAGTGGCGCAATGGGTTAAACCCTTGTGTCATCAGGATTGCTGATCGATAGGTGAGCGGTTCGAATCTGGGGAGAGCAGGTTGAGCTCCCTGTGTCAGCTCCAGCTCCCCATGCGGGGATATGAGAGAAGCCTCCCACAAGGATGGTAAAACATCAAAACATCAGGTTGTCCCCTGGGCAACTTCCTTGCAGATGGCCAAGTCTCTCACACCAGAAGCAACTTGCAGTTTCTCAAGTCACTCCTGACATGAAAAAAAAACCAACAACTTCTGAGTCTGTTCAGGGAGTTCCAAGTTGCCCATTCTTGGTTTGCCGCTGGAGGCAGACCTTTGTGGGGTGCCATCCAATTGGGATTACCTGGTTTAGCTGCTGAGAGGGATACTCTTGCTTTTGCTGGGGGGACATTAAGAGGAGTGGTAGTTCTCATGGAGCTTTTCCTTGATTTCCGTCTACTGGGAGGAGGCTGATAGCCATGCAGTGGGTGGCTTTCACAGTGTTCAACCTTATTTCTCTCACAGTTAGCAGCAACTTCCCATTGCACATTGGTGGGGGGGGGCAGTGCCCACTAGCTTGTGAGTGTCTATCAACAGGTGTAGGTTTGCGACATCCTGTGTTTATTCTGCATGTTTTGTTCAGTGCTATGTTCACCTGCTTCATATGGGCAGACTTCTGCCAAACAGGGCAGGCATACTTAGCAGCTGAGTAAGACAAGGCTTCAATGTGACTGGCATCCGTACTTTGGCTTCAATTCACTATCTTGAAACTTGGAGTTCTTGAATGTTTTAAAAGAGAAGTAATCCACCGGCCTGTAAGAAGCTTTCTTTGCATACATCACAGAAAGCAAGCAAACTTTTCACCTATATCAAGATCAGATCAAAGCACTTCCAACTCACACTGCACAGTGAGTGAAGAAACCAAAATCGAGAAAAATTCTCTTTAAAATTCAAAAGTGAAGAACTGATGAGAATCCAAGCTTGGAATGGAAAGACTGGTTGGCATTTGACTGTACAGATTGTGTGTGCGAGAGGTGTTTTTCTTTCTCTGTTTCTGGGATGGATGATCCCAAACACTTGTTCAGTGCAAGGAAAGACAATATTCCTAGATACTGTATTCTCTCTCAATCTCTTTCTAGATTATGTCTATTGCAGCAGAAACACCAAGGATTGTTTTGACATCTGAATGGTTAACCACTTTTATGTGATACAAACATTTCTAATCACAGTCCACTTAATACTTTAAATGGAGTGTTTAGTTGAAATACCCTTGGGTAGGTGGAGGAAGTTAAGTTGCAGTTGCAACGTAACTGGGGAAAGGTTCATTCATTCTGTGTCATAACAGCAACTGGTTGTAAACTGGTTTTAATTGCATACATTGTTACATGGTATATATAGCTTATTACTTAGGTGTGTTTTTATTTTGCAGGTGGCTGGTTTGCAAGATTTGGATTACCCTGTGACCAAAACTGCATAGTTTTAAAATTGTATCTTTCACAGTATTTCTTCAATGTTAACTTACCAAATCCTGGAGGTTTTACATAAACTGTATTCATAAACATAATTATCTGGAACAGTGGTTCTCAACCTGTGGGTTCCCAGGTGTTTTGGCCTCCAACTCCCAAAAATCCCAGCCAGTTTACCAGCTGTTGGGATTTCTGGGAGTTGAAGGCCAAAACATCTGGGGACCCACATGGTGAGAACCACAGGTCTAGAATCTGGGTTTGCATAGAGCAACATCTTGTGGAGAAGCAGCTCTCAAAACACTATCTTAAGCAATGGGCCAAACAGATTTTAGTTAGCATGAACTGTCTTCCCTGGCAAGAGTGTTCAAACATAACTCTGTAGTCCAGTCCAAAACATTTACATATTTCAGGTAAAGTTACATGCATTTAAGCCCTCTGGCTGTGATCCTAAATGTACCCACATAGAAGCAAGGCTGGTTAAAACATAGACCAGCGGTTCTCAACCTGGGGGTCGCGACCCCCCAGGGGATCGTTTGGCCATTTCGGAGGGGTCGCGAGGCCGCCTCCTTAGGCCCCGCCCACAAGGCTGCGAGCCCTCCCTGGGCGCCTTCGCAGCCCGCGGGGGAGCCCAGGAGGGGCTCGCGCGAAGGCTGCCTCAGCTCCCTCACGGCTTCGCCAAATGGCGAGGCCGCAAGGCAGCCGGGGGCTCCTTTGCGCGAGTCCTCCCTGGGCTCCTTCGCGGCCTCGCCATTTGGCGAGCGCGCGGGGGAGCCCAGGAGGGGCTCGCGCGAAGGCTCCCTCATGGCTTCGCCAAATGGCGAGGCCGCAAGGCAGCCGGGGGCTCCTTTGCGCGAGTCCTCCCTGGGCTCCTTCGCGGCCTCGCCATTTGGCGAGCGCGCGGGGGAGCCCAGGAGGGGCTCGCGCGAAGGCTCCCTCATGGCTTCGCCAAATGGCGAGGCCGCAAGGCAGCCGGGGGCTCCTTTGCGCGAGTCCTCCCTGGGCTCCTTCGCGGCCTCGCCATTTGGCGAGCGCGCGGGGGAGCCCAGGAGGGGCTCGCGCGAAGGCTCCCTCATGGCTTCGCCAAATGGCGAGGCCGCAAGGCAGCCGGGGGCTCCTTTGCGCGAGTCCTCCCTGGGCTCCTTCGCGGCCTCGCCATTTGGCGAGCCTGCGGGGGAGCCCAGGAGGGGCTCGTGTGAAGGCTGCCTCGGCTGCAACTCCCAAATGTCAAGTCAAACCCCTCCCCAAACTCCTCCGGTGTTCACATTTGGGCGTATTGAGTATTCGTGTCAAGTTTGGTCCGGATCCATCATTGTTTGAGTCCACAGTGCTTTTGGAGGTAGGTGAACTATAATTCCAAAACTCAAGGTCCATGCCTGCCAAATCTTTCCAGTATTTTCTGTTGGTCATGGGAGTTCTGTGTGCCACATTTGGTTCATTCCATCGTTGATGGAGTTCAGAATGCTCTTTGATTGTAGGTGAACTATAAATCCTAGCAACTACAACTCCCAAGTGTCAAGGTCTAATTTCCCCAAACTCTACCAGTGTTCACATTTGGGCAGATTGAGTATTCTTGCCAGGTTTGGTCCAGATCCATCATTGTTTGAGTCCACAGTGCTCGCCTGATGTGAGTTACAGCTCCAAAACTCAAGGTCAGTGGTCACCAAACCCTTCCAGTATTTTCTGTTGGTCAAGGGATATCTGTGTGCCAAGTTTGTTTCAATTACATTGTTGGTGAAGTTCAGAATGCTCTTTGATTGTAGGTTAACAATAAATCCCAACAACGATACCGCTGAGTTGCTGAGCTTGTTGACCCAAAGGGCACAGGTTCTAATCCAGGAAGCAGCATGAGCTTCCGCTGTCAGCCCCAGCTTCTGCCAACTTAGCAGTTCAAAAACATGCAAATGTGAGTAGATCAATAGGTACTGCTCTGGTGGGAAGGTAACTATGCTCCCTGCAGTTATGCTGGCCACATGACCTTGGAGGTGTCTACGGACAATGCTGGCTCTTTGGCTTAGAAATGGAAATGGGCACCACACCCAAGTCAGACATGACTGGACATAATGTCAGGGGAAAACTTTTACCTACAACTCCCAAATGACAAAACCAACTCCCCCCCCCCCAACCCCACCAGTATGCAAATTTGGGTGTATTGGGTAATTGTGCCAAATTTGGTTTGGGGGTCACCACAACATGAGGAACTGCATTAAGGGGTCACGGTATTAGGAAGGTTGAGAACCACTGACATATACAAAGCTGTAGTGGGTCAGGGCTCTGTTTTCATAGTAACCGAGATGATGCTGTATGCACAGGACTACACTGGTAATTCAGAGCCTCACTTAGCAAGATAAATAAACATTCACTATAGCATACATTTCTTTAAATGTGAAGCACCACTTTTCCTTTCTGGTTGCTTATTAAAATGGTAGTTAACAACATTTTGTTAGGACCAACTGAAACATGGCTCGCTCCTGAGCAAGGTTTTGAATTCTTGATTTTTTTCTTGATCAGGCATTGGCAAACTTCGGCCCTCCAGGTGTTTTGGACTTCAACTCCCACAATTAGGCTGTTAGGAGTTGTGGAAGTTGAAGTCCAAAATACTTGGAAGGTTGAAGCTTGCTCATGCTTGTGCTAGATGAAACATGCTGAAGTCCTAGCTGTTCATCTTTATTATTGTTTATTTATTATTGTTGCAGAGTTTGGTATTCTTTTACCATATTGACCAACATTTTCCATGGCCCACTGCTACATTGCAATAGTGTATTCCCCTTCCACTGTCAGTATGTCACTGGTAGGTTTCAGAGCTAGATGAAAACTGATGGCACCATCCAAGCATGTAGCCGGGGGGGGGGAGGGCGGGGCTTCAGCCCCC